GAAATCCTTGAGTAACTGCAGAATTGGGGGCTCCTCCAGAAGGGCTCAGCACCATGAGTAAATAAGTAATTCGCATTTAGACTGGCAGGAGGATCCATCTAGCCTCTTATACAACAGGTAGCGGGAGCTCAGGGGGCAAAGCGATCGGGGCGTAAAGGTAATCAATCGTATCCATCTAGTGCCAAGATCTTATATACGTCTTCAAGGAGAGGTACTTAACTGATGAAGCTCAGCGACTACTTTAACTTTACCTTCACAGTGCTGACATCTTGTGAAACATTGCATTTCCGCTACTTGGAATGCAGACAATATCGAATTCCTTCGAAGCACTGTACCTCGGCACTGAAATATTTGTTTCACACGAGGTAAATTGCCACCACATGGCGCCATATCTCCTTTACACTCATGGTATCCTTCTGAAGAACTAGAGTTTTCAAGTAGCTCAGTGCTTGCCATTGTCGTCCTTTGCCCATCTCTTGCTCTCAACGGCTTCTCCTCACCGGCCCACACAACAACTTAAAGTAGTGTATTAAAACGCACACCACAGGCAACTAGTGATGGATCGGGAAGCCACATATTTTCATCGTATTAAAGAAAACTATGTACGATCATTTCTGCACGTAAGAGTAGACAAAATGAATTACGATGAGAAGACTTCAAAGGGCGCGTAAGCGAGTTTCACCCACTGCAAAATCAATGGGCAACTGTAAGAAACTGTATAAAAATGCTAATTTCCTCAACTTCCATGTCGATAACTCATCTCAGCTAACATAACAGCGTGCTGCACATCAGGAATAAAGGTCTAATAACGTTTCAGCGGACGAGTGGCTCGTTCTGGAAAACAATACAAGCTCTTCGCCATTTTTACATAAATTCTGCTTCACAAAATCAATATGCTCAGTCGGTACAGCCAGACTCTCCGAACGAACAACAGATGTCTCTCTTCGAAGCAGGATTCATACCGGCTCCGTGGCTCCTTCACCGAGGGCGATGTTTACCAGGAAGCGAACCCAACAGCTCGCCTCTGTATATCTCCGAGGTTAGGAACGCGCTGATACACACATTCTGCCTCCGTATGTCTTCATGGCTGGATAACTGTGTCTTAACGTTTTTTATATCCAAGACAAACGGTCTGATCACGAAATTTTCATTTTCTCATAAAACACTTGCCTTGTCAATGGCAACACACCCGCCCTGACGGTGCGTACCAATATGAACATTAAGGTGCACCATCGAGGAGGTGCGGTAAGGTTTCGGGTCAAGCCGCCGATTTCCGTAGCTCCCCTACAATCTCCGTATGAATTCAGACAGGCCACGATTGTGTGCTTCTACATCGCCACACTTAGTCACCACTTATGACCACCTTCTGATTACATTCGGCTTTACATGAACACTAAAAGTAAACAGCTACCCATGTAACAGGTCTTTGAGGCCCATAAGGTTGTAAGAAGTTGAGGCTCCCACGTTTTCTCTAGACAATCGGCTCACAGATGGCGGTAAGGTTGTCAGCCTTACGCGCCAGCCGCCCTCCAGGAAGATTCCTGGTACTCATTTCTGTTAGAGGCTGAGTCAACCCAATGCCATAGCGCGGCAGAATGGATTAGGTAAATTGAAAGGAAAAAAAAATCACTTCATCGGGACTCGAACCCGCGACCTTCCGACTTGTAGCATAGTTCTTAAACCAAGTACGCTACCGCATCACATCGTGAACATGTATGGGGAGTGGGGGTACAGTTCCAGTATTCTTAATCCCGGCCGCTTTGCCCCTGGGCAAAGAGCACACAGTGTCGTTATAATATGAGGCTCGCTGGCCCTTATACCCGATCTGGATGCCGCGAAAAAAGATTAACATTCTCCGATTCTTAGGTCGTCCAGCCAGCCTAGATACATTTCAAATGTGGCAACTACATAACATCAAAAGTCTATTAACAAATTAGATAGGAAGGAAAGTGTAGTACTTAGAATCTGTTTAACTGAGAATGAGTTAGTAGCTGTGTATGCACATGACCACACATGTTCCGTGTGCTGAAGTGTAATGATATTCAGACATTGCACGGCATTGCTTTCCGTCTTCTCAGACCTGTAAGAATCGAAACACTGAATTTCCAGACATCAACAAACGCACAGGCGACATGTCTATAAATAAACATGAAAACAAGAGCGATACAATTTCTTAAATTATCCCCTCTCAGTCAGGAAAACAGAGAACGCATCGTGATGGCCAGCCAACCTGAGGTTTCGTGGTTTCTCTACAACCCAGAATTCTTCATAGTTACTGCCTAGTGAAAGGCCGCGCCATAGCTCAACCGGTTAGTCGCTGGCTTCCAACCGCGGCGACCCGGGTTCGATCCCGTGGTCTGGTCAAGTGGGATTTGTGGTGGACAAAGTGGCGCTGGGGCGGGTTTTCTCCGAGTACTTCGGTTTCCCCTGCCAATGTTCATTCCACCAAATTCTCCATCATCATAATCACCCGGGACAGGCTACAATAGGCCAATTAGTGGCCATCGTGCCGAGTGGACCCAGTTGGATTCCACCTCTCGCTAAGAGAGAAAAAAAAGACTGGCAGCTTCTCATAAACTAATCAGGCCCCATGGAATTGGTTAAATGGGAGTTTCTGTACGAAAATTAACAACACTAAGGTAGAATTCCATGGAATGAAGCCTGTACATGGCAATGAGTAACCGTAAAGGTTGAATTAATCGAAGAATCCGTCGAAATTCCTATGTGAAAATACTGAAATGCATTCCCCTTTTACCGATTTCAGGAACTCATGTGTAGTAGTGCAAAAGTAGTTGCTCAGTAACTTAATTTCCATTTTCAGTGTAAGTAAAAAAGTAAAAAGTAAAGCTATCCCTGTAACAGGCCATGAAGGCCCATAGGGTTGTGAGACGTTTAGGGTCCCACATTATCTAGACAATCGGCTCAAAGATGGCGGTAAGGTTGTCAGCCTTACGCGCCGGCCGCGCTTTACTCCCCAGGAAAATTATTTCATTAATTCCTAGTACTCATTTCTGTTAGAGACTGTACTTTCCTTATTTCTACAGAACATGGCGTCAGGGTATGTCAGGCAGTGTAAGAACCATGCTACAACATTGACAAGTGAGGAATCACTGTTCGATTGCCGACAGAATCGAGACGGCTCTGGGGACCATACAACCTCTTATCTAACGGGTACTGGAGGGCCTTTCTCTGTGGGTAAGGTCACCATTCCTCTCTGTGTATTACCAAGGCCAATAACGCGTGACGCTGTACTTTCACTTCTCCATATGTTACCATGGTACAGTGCTAAGTTAAGCATTGGAACAACTTTTATATGGGAATACAGCCTTCGGTTTGGTATCATCATGTTCACCTGGTCGTCAATCATATTAACGGAGTTTAATTATATCTGGTATGAACATCATGCCACCAAAGGTCACTTCAAATTTCTGATTTAAAACTATCAATAAGAGTATTATTATGAACATACTGGCGGTGGTAACGTTTAAGGTGGAACCTACACTACAGTCCCACAATACCATGGCCGTTCTCTCCTCAGAAGTTGGCACGTCCTGTAAGTCAATACTGACTATCCTATATAATTGAAAAGTATGTAGCTGGGCGTCACAATGCCACGGCGTTTATTCCAAATACCATGATAATCTGTCAAGCCGGAAGGTCGCGGGTTCAAGTCCCGATGAGGTCATTGGATTTTTTTCAGTTGACCTAATCCTTCCAGCCGCACTAGGCCCTGGGGTTTACTCAGCCTCTAACAGAAATGAGTACCAGGAATTAATTAAATAATTTTCCTGGGGAGAAAAGCGCGGCCGGCGCGTAGGGCTGACAACCTTACCGCCATCTTTGAGCCGACTGTCTAGATAATGTGGGACCCTGAACGTCTTACAATCCTATGGGCCTTCACGGCCTGGTGCGGGGATAGCTCTGCTTTTTACTTTTTTACCATGATAATCTGTCAGGTGGCTCGAAATTTGAAAGGGAGGACACACAGATCTAGCAGCAGCACAGTCGACTACAATTATACGCCTAACTAGATCAGGAAGGGGGCATGCTGTAACGTATTGGTTCAGGCACTATGCTACAAGCCGGAAGAGCGCAGGTTCGAGTCCCGATGAGGCTTTTTTTTTTCAATTTACCTAATCCTTCCAGACGCCTGGATGGCATAGTCAGTATAACGACTGGCTATGGGCTGGACGACCGAAGGATAGGAGTTCGAGTGCCGGTAGGGTCAAGAATTTTCTCTTCTCCACGCCGTCCAGACCGGCTCTGGGGTCCACCCAACCTCCTATCCAATGGGCAGCCGGGACTCTTCCCCGGGGGTAAGGCGGCAGGGGCGTGAACCTGATCACTCACCTCCAGCTAGTGCCGATGTCAAAAGAATAAGGATCTATACATCCACTCCCCCCTTCGCTTTCATGGCGTAGTGCTTAATTAGTTAAGCACACGGACAACTTTACCTCTACCTAACTCTTCCAGCCGCACTATGGCCCTGGGGTCGACTCAGCGTCAAACAGAAAGGAGTACTAGGAATTTTCCGGGGGGGGGGGGGGGAAAGATGGGCCGGCGCGAAAGGTCTGCGACACCACCGCANGGGGGGGGGGTAAAGTGCGGCCGGCGCATAAGGCTGACAACCTTACCGCCATCTTTGAGCACACTGTTTAGAGGAAATGCGGGAGCCTCAAAGTCTCACAACCCTATGGGCCTTCACGGACTGTTGGAGGGATTGCTTTACCTTCTTTTTTTTATCTAAACCACGAATATGAAAAGGGGGTTATATATAAGGGCCAAAGAAAGCATGAAATGCCTAAAAAAATCTAGTAGGAAAAGGCAGAGGTCATTTGGAAGATCTAGGTGTAGATGAGGCGATAATTTTAAAGTAGACTGTGAGTAACTAAATTGGGTGAACTAGTTGAGAATGGAGACAAAATTTGTTCAGACCTGTGTTCTACAACAACTGGGAACTTCAATTGGATAACAGGTGGCTGTTATGGTTTGGTACTGACCTGAGATGGTCGCTGCGCATAAATTTCTTGCTGCAGACGGGACAGGTGAAGTTCTTTTCTCCCGTGTGTGTCCGAGTGTGGCGGGCAAGTTCATCCGAACGTGCAAAGCGCTTCCCACAAGCCGGCCAGACGCAAGGGAATGGTCGCTCCCCTGAAACAATAAAACAGTTGTTCAATACATCTCACGATACACTCATCCTACTATACGCCCGTAACTGTTACAAACGTTTAAAGACCATTTCACGAGGTTTCTTACGCATGCGCTAATGACATACGAATCAACCCAAATGAAGGGAACATGACAGCTCAGGGCACAGCGATCTGTCCATGGACTTCTGTCTCTACATCGGGAAGGGGCAGCAGCTGTTGTACTCCAGCCTATGTATACGTCCGCGCGTTGGAGTTTAGCAAGCACACACAAAAACTTTGTATACGTATCAATTACAGTGTCAACAATACTTCGTAATAGGAAAATGGTAGCGGAAAAAAGAAAAGCGCGAAGAACGTGGCAACGAACGCGGAATAAACAAGATAAAACCCTCCTAAACCGTCTCACACACAAACTACGCTCGGTCTTAATGGAAACCCGAAATGCCTCTTTTCAACAATACACCTCAAGCTTAGCACCTGAAGACAACTCGTTATGGAAGGCAACGAAAACTCTCCGGAGACCGACAGTAGCAACCCCTCCAATCAGACGCACTGACGCCAGCTGGGCTAGAACAGACNTCCGCGGATCAACACTGTCCGAAGCCCCAGAGCTAAAGGCCGCCGAAAAAGATAGAGATTCGCACCACGGAAAAAATAAAGGAAACAGTAACAGAATAAGGCAATAATATACAACTAAAACTATTAATAGAAATAGAAAATTCACAATTTGGATGGTTTGGGCAAGTAGACAGGAAGAATGAATGCTCCCCCCACAGAGCACGACGGATAGCGATCATGAACATTGTCACGTGATGGAGTGATTATAGACGGGGTTTGAATTAATAACTGGATTTACTGAACTCTTGCATATCCGTGTCTAGAAGTAATTATAGCCGTTTCAGTAATTTACGCACTTCACAGTTCACTTAAAGTCTACTCAGCCTACTGTGTCTTCACCAATCGTTGTGTGGTAACGACTTGCATAACGGCGGACGTTACCCTTCCTCTGGGTTCCCGAAATGTCCTGGCCTCAGCTACAGCAACTCTCGACTAACTGCCAATCAGTTCATCCCGGCGATAAGAATCGAGACCCACGACCAGTAATTTTATTTTCCAACTGAACACTCGCAGTTATAGTCCTTATGTAACATCCTTCCTGACAACAGGATGGGTCTGTCGGCCACAATTGCAGTCATTCTCAGGTCCAAGTCCCGCGGGACTCATGAACACATTTTACTGTCTCAGATTCGAGACTTCCCCAAACCTGGAGGTCCCAATAATTTGATCTCCCAGGAACGGGGTGGCCCGGTTATAACCCCAGGCACTGAATTCCCTTTTCGTCGCCTCCTACGACTCGCAGGGCTACGGTGGAAGTATTTGACTCCGCCTCCACACGGGATATGCCGAATGATCAACCGTCTGTAGACTTGTCCCGCTTATAACAGAAAACACCGCTTCCCACTATTGTTGTATCCAATTGTTGCCGCGGAATCATGCCTGTTTGCGAGCCGTTACTCAGTAACGGCTCTCTGTTGGCTACACAGTTCTTGCCTTAAGCAAATGCCACAATATCGAAAAGGCAAGCAGTCAAACCTGGGAAGGGAATATTCAGACCGTGAAGGAATACGACAAAATGATGCAAAGATCCACGTCGAGTACTGGACAGTACCGACAGTCACACCATTCGCTAGCCTATGAAGTAAAAGTAAAAACATGTGCCCGAAACTGAACTCTCAAAGACGTTTCAATGGGGGAAAAAATTCAGTTTTCTCGGTCATTCTATTAGAAGCTCCTCTGAAACTACTGTTTGTCCCGAAACTGTACATAGCAACACACATCTTTAAGCTGTCAGTGGTAGAACCAAGTAAGCTTGAGGGAGAACGGGAGAAAGTTTCACTCCCTTCTGTCTCTGGAGGCACCACAAATTGCGATCTACCTACACCTCATCCTGACAACGGCTGGTAAGAAGAGTCAACAGACTTTCACAAAGTCCTGCAACAAGAATTTTAAGGAGATACAAACACCAAGAATTTCAAAGCACGGTCTTGACTGGTAGATTTACAGACGTAGCACTGACATGGAGGAACACCGGTACGACCACGTGAGCTACGTTCGTAGCACTTCCGTACAAATTCATTACGACAATCTACAACGAATATGCCAAGATTATTTTGAGACAAAGGTTCTGACGGTGGTGACTATCAAGATTATCGTCTTCTGAGATGTGAGGCAGTGTAGTCTGGTAGAGACATGCCCATGTTTCAGAGAGATGTATTTTGGGACAGCATGTTCCTGACCTACCACACTACACTGCGTCACATCCCAGAAGGCAGAAATCTTGGAGACTGTTTGTTATTTTGCAGAGACATGTTCAGGCCCATGAATGTATGAGGGGTAGGCGTTCTCGGCCCTTGCATCGCGACCTACAGTGGTTTACTGTGCTTCTCTTCAGGCCCTTCGTTCCCGATCTATAATAATAATAATAATAATAATAATTCCGTTCATTCATTAAAGTGCTTTACTGTAGCTAAAAGCCAATTACAGGCAAGCGATGAAGAAATAATAATAATAATAATAATAATGGAGCAACGCATCAAGAGGTAACAAAAACAGCCCTAGAACAGGCTAGTCTGAAGGTGTAGCTCTAGTCGCAGAGCTCTCGGTTCGAATCTCAGCTGGCACACTGATATCCTGCCCGAAGTTTTGTCATGGTTTTCCTCATTCTCCCAGTTAAATCTCGAGGTGGTATCTCGATAATGCCATGACCATTTCATACCAAATCTTTTGTAATTCATCGTTCATCTGCCACCATACCATCCGACGCTATGCAGTCTCGATGCTGAAGGAGTCTTTAAATAGCCCACGAAAAGAAAGTCAATAATTCATTACAGTGCAGATAATTCAATGGAAGATCAATAGTCGTTAGACTAATACAGAAAAGCCCCGCCTTTTATGGAACTTTGTGAGATGAGCTTTTCATTCTCTCCTGCTGCACCATGTAGCCTTGCGGGTGGTTACTGCCTCAATGAAGACAGAGGCAGTAGGTTCCTCTTATCTTAGCGCTTACGGAGGCCATCTTCTGCCAACACCTCTTTGTGGTAGTTAGGCAGAACGTCATGGCGACGTATGCTGGTAGTTCTTTACCGCTGCATAAAGTGCTTCCAGCGCCCAGCGGTAGAGACTGGCTGGATGGCCTCAGAACTGATCTGCACGCTATGAAGGGAGTGCCTTGGCCCTGATGGCCCTTGCACCGCGACCTATTGTGCTCATCCAGTCACTATGCTGACCAGGCCTATCTGCTACGATATTCTATGCTCCTCTCCATACCATTTTCCACGTGCTGCACAGTATCTTCCAAAACGAAACAGAAAAGTATCATATGAACCCGTTTCATATACAGAGTGTTTCACGACTTTAGGGCATAACTGCAGGAGGTGATTTTCTAGGTCTTTGTGATCAAAAGAGTTCATATAAACATGTGTTCGATTTTGGACGGTTACGAAGTTATGACCGTTTTAAACTCAGAATAGAAGGTAACGATTACTGACAATAAACGGAACAAAATAATAAACCAGCATAATACATGATACATTTAAAGTATGAATGTAAAGTTAACTTCGTGAAATTAGCTTTAATTTGAATTTATTTGTGCTTAAAGCTGATTTTCGAAAATACCACAGCCGGCCGCAACACAGGCTGCCGCTGCTGTGAACCGCGCCGGACCTACGAACCCGCCACGCCTTAGGTACCTCTCAAGTGTCGAGATAACGAGAACGCTCTGTCTGTAGCTGGCTAAAAATATCGACCCGGCAGATGACAGACGCGGTTCACATGACGGCGTGTACGGGAATGAAAAAACGGTCCTAACTCCGTAACCGTCCAAAATCGGACATACGTTTATATGCCGGAAGCAGCGCCATCAGCAGCGTCCTGAAGCAGAGAGCAAATGATGCTCGAGATGGTTCATGTTCGTATAGCAGCAGGCGTGACCAGAGTGGTTTGAACGGCTGTTGTACTGCGAAGTGGAAAGCAAATGGAAAAACTACCACATTATCACTTTTCCTGGATAGTCTCTTTCCTAAAACAGAGACACCATGTATGCGAGATATTTTCTCTGGAGACAAAACAAACCGGAGGGGCAGATAGAAGTGACCAGAAGACGAGGAAGAAGACGTACGAATAAGCTGGATGACCTTGGGGATAGAAGAGGATATTTTTTATTCGAAGGAGAAAGCTCTAGATTGCATTAAGTGGAGGAGCTGTTTTGGAAGAGACTGTGGACCAGTCGTCTGACAGATTACTGATGAATGAAAAATGATCACAAAGACCTAGGAAATCATCTCCTGCAGTTATGCCCTAAAGTCGTGAAACACCCTGTATATGATGGCACAGACGTCAGTTAACTGGTCAGTAAAATGTACACCAAAATCATTCGAACTGAGATCCTCCACGTTTGATGCACAACAAACAACGCTGATACCGTTCTACAGCCTGACTGACAGGTTCTTCCTGTTAATGTTTTAAGTTGACTGACTTTTGGGACTCTCCATATATGAAAGACACTGAAATGAAATGACACCTTCCCCCACTTTGTGTTTCCATGTTTGTAACACGACGTTTTCATAAAATCAGTTGTTTGTTATGTGGTTCACAGTTCGTTTAGCATGGTACGTTGTTAATTCATATATGGAAAGGAAGAGAGTTCGAAAATAAGTCAGCATGGGAGTGAATCCAAAATACATTCATAGATTCCAGCTAGGTTGACACCCCATACTGGCCTATGGACAGAATTAGGCCAAGGTTCAAAACAGTTTATGTACTTATTTATATTTATATGGGGAATTTTGCCCAAGGTTAGTTATATTCAAGGTTTGTAACAATATGTTTGCATGTTTGTAGGCCCATGGGCCCAGTTCATCTTATGCTTCTAATGAGAATATAGGAGGAAAGAAAAGTGTTTTTTGTATCCCTCAGCCTCTAACAGAAATGAGTACCAGGAAT